AAGATTTTAAACATTCAGCATCTTTTGGGATACAGTATATACAACATGAATGTAGCCCATGTTCAGATGATTTCATGAGGCAGCTGCTCCACTGACCAGTCTCTTAATATTCATAGCTTGTGATTTGGCCCGAATAGTTTTTTTTTCTGTTTCTGATTCTTTGTGTTTATAAAAAAATACTTTACAGACTTCAAAAGCAAATTTTACCATTCTGTCCTCTCGTCCTATCAACCATTAAATATATTATCCTCCCATTCCAATATCCAGTCTTGTCCAAATCTGAAATCTATTAAAATATAATATTGCAGAGAAGCAGAGAAATTCAGAAGAGTTAATCCCTTATTTATTTATTTATTTATTTTAAGAGAACTGTCTGCTACTAAGATAACACATCTTGAAATACTCAAAAGAAAACAGCTTGAAACAAGTACAGGAAACTGGAATGTCATGTGGAAAGGATAGAGGAATGCATTTTTAGCCAATTGTGTCATATCTTCCTACTATGTAGTATATACTGCTGTATGATGAGTGCGTAACAGAGACCGGATAATGTATATGTTATATGGTCTTTTGTGCAAAAATATTGTCTCTAATTTAATATGGAATGGCCTAAGTTATTAAAACTTATTGGTGAAAGTTAGCAAGGCCCTTAATTTCAGATGGTTAAATGCCCCCATTGTGTAGTATACACAGTGTAGTAGGGTTTCTCAAACTCAATACTTGGCTTCCTACAACAGCCAATGAGATACCCATGTAAAGACCAAAATCAAGGCGTGAAGGAAATAGTTTTAAGAATGTGGGTTGCTGGGAGTTTTCCAGGCTGTGTGGCATTCTCTCCTGACATTTCACCCACATCTATGACAGGCATCCTCAAAGGTGAGGTCTGTTGGAAACTAGGCAAATGAGGTTTATTTATCTGTGGATGAGAGAAAGAACTCTTATCTGTTTGAGGCAAGTGTCAATGTTGCAATTGACCACCTTGATTAACCTTTAATGGCCTTGTAGCTTCAAAGCCTGGCTGGTTGCTACCTGAGGCCATTAAAGCTGCAAAGCCATTAAATGCTAATCAAGGTGGCCAATTGCAACAATCACACTTGCCTCAAACAGACAAGAGTTCTTTTTCCCACCCTGGACATTCCTCAGATATATAAACCTCACTTGCCCAGTTTCCTCTGAGGATGCCTGCCATAGATGTAGGTGAAACATCAGGAGAGAATGCTTCTAGAACATGGCTGTACAGCCTGGAAAACTCACAGCAACCTAGTGACTCCAGTTATGAAAGCCTTCAACAACAGAGTTTTAAGAATGCTTGCGTTGTTCGCTTGAAGAAGTCCCACTTTTCCCATTTATAGTACAGGAGGGGAGTGGGTGAAACAAATTAGACATCTGCAAAGCTTAAATGAAAATGAAGAGCTGACTACTACTTTAGTTCAGCGCCCATACTTTATGGCGATTCATTTTTGTTCAGTAAACAACATGGGAAACTTTTGAAAACAGGATGACTGAAAGGAAAACAAAATCCCACGTAATGTTTTCAGAGATCATAGCATAAGCTGTGAGTCTTGTGAGTTTACAGAAGTGATGATGGAGAACGTGTGACTGACATCTAACCATTCAGCATTTAATCTTTTGTATGTATCTTCTAGTAAATGCACTCCAAATTTAAGAGATTTTTTTGTCTTCCAGAACCAATTAGCTTATTCATTTATTTGTTACGCTTACATTATTGTTCCATCCTTCGACTCTATAGTGGTGGTTTTCAGACTGTTCTTGGGGCCAAAGGACCCTGTGGCTATTTGGAAGCTTATCTGGGCTTCACAGTGACTGAATTAGCAATGGCTGGCAAATTTCAATGAAAGGCAACTTGGCAGCTCTGTGCCCCCCCCCCCCCCGCCTTCCATGCATAGCCTGGGGGAGTGTTGCCTGTGTGCCGACTGTGCTCTGAGGCTTGGCAGTCTTCCTGCAAGCTGACTGCGCATCTGAAAACATATCCCAGAATCCCCTGCAATCTGCAAGAGTTGCTTTGGCCGATGAACTGATCTGCAGAGGTTAAAGAAGTTTTAAAGAACTGCTTTAAGGGAGGTCATTATGACATACATATAGTTTCCACATGGTCTCCCAGAATTGTTCAGGAAGTGGTTTTGGTCAATCTGGTAGCAGTTGCATCCTATTCGAATCAAGTAATCAAGTTTCCCCTGTAATTAAAATCTTGCTATAGCTATTCATTTTAAAAAATAAAGATGCGATTGGTTATACCACAGAAGCAGATGAATAGTTGTTTCAGAGTAGCTTATTCAGATGATAAAAGCTACACTAGTTTTTCTCCCAATCTCAGCATGCTGAACTACTGCTTCTGGAAAAGTGTGAGCAGCTGGGGGACCCAGCCAGCAGATACCGTATGCATATAAAGATGGTCTTGTTCTTTTTCCACGGACCCCACACTAATCTTAACATTTTGGGGTAGGTGACAAGTAGTTATGCAGTAATTTTCCAAAATGGCAACCTCCACTTGCTGGATGATGTGTTCATCAGCAGCAAAGTGGGGTCACCTTTTAATTGGAGCTGTTTACACTGATATCTGACCACATTTGAATTGATGATGCCAGTTCTTGACTAGATCATATGATGGGGAATCATCACCATACACCTCTTTCATCTCATCTAATGTCTCCTTTGTTGTGTGGCCTTTCAAGTCAAGGAACTTGATGACTGCTCTATATTCCACTGGATCCATTATCAAACCTCACACCACTTCAGCACCTGTAAAATCAAGACCGTTATCAGTTCTGAGTTGTAAATTGACATGTAACCTATAGAAACTTATATCATTACACAATTGTGGTTTCGGCGTCCTGTGATAAATAGAAGTGGGTCGGGGAAAAACTTTCATGAATGCCCCTCATATTAACTGCATGATCTAGAATACGCTTTAATAGCATATATTCTTTTTGCACACACTCTTTAGTGAAGAAGTGCCTGTACATTGACCCTCTTTACCCAAAACAGGCATACTTTTCCATCTGAGCTGTTCAGAATTTCAAAATTTGCTAATTTAGCTGGACCCAGTGTCATATTAGAGGTGTCACAATGTGTTCAGAGCTGTTCTCATAAAAGAAAACATGAAGAAAACTGCAAAAGAGTATTAAGAAGACTTCTCAAGGATGATTTAAATATTCTAAAGAATTGGATTCCAGTGAAAACACTTTTCAGGCTCAAGACCATTTGTAAAGTTTGATCTTAGTTACTTGACCAGAGGCTGTACATTCAGGAGGCATTAGACTGAAAGTCTTTTTAGGGAAGGAGAGAATTCCAGGAAGTTGTTGGCTGTCCTGCTCAGCACCTCAGCCCACAGTGCTTCCACTGAATTAATCACTCTTTAGTAAACATGTTTACAATTCTATCTGTCCTGAAACAAATAGAGCTGAATCAGCAATCAGGACCTGTTCCTCGCATATAATTTCTCTTCCTGGTTTACCTTTCAGTGTGTAAGTACATAAGGCATGATAGCTAACCAAGTCTTAACAGTTGGGTTGTTGTAAGTTTTTTGGGCTGTACGGCCATGTTCCAGAAGTATTCTCTCCTGACATCTATGGCAGGCATCCTCCGATGTTGTGTGTTATGTTAAGTTAAGCAGCAGTTAAGTTATAAAAGTGAAAATAATGGGTTCCATGTTGAAGCGTATCTTGCATTCTCTTTCAAAGTAATGCAGGTGCACTATAAAACACTTGTATTCAAATATTGAGACACCAAATTTGGCCATGGTAGTCCACGCCTAGACTACTGCAATGCTTTCTACATGGGGCTGCCTTTGAAGATAGTTCGGAAGCTTCAACTGATTCAGAGATCGGCAACCAGATTACTAATTGGAGCTCCATACAGGGAGAGATCTACTCCCATGCTATGGCAGCTCCACTGGGTGCAGGTCTGCTTTCGGGCTAAATACAAATTGCTGGTGATTACTTTAAAGCCCCGAAGGACTCGGGTCCAGGCTATTTGACTAACCACATCTCTGCCTACAAACCAACTCGGGCACTGTGGTAACTGGAGGAGGCCTTGCTCTTGGTCCCACACCTACTCAAGTACGACTGATGGGAATGAGAGAGCCTTCTCCATGATTGCCCCCCTCCTCTGTAACTCCCTCCCTAAAGCAGTGATTCCCAACCTTTGGACCTCCAGGTGTTTTGGACTTCAACTCCCAGAAATCCCAGCCAGTTTACTAGCTGTTAGGAACTGTGGGAGCTGAAATCCAAAACACCTGGAGGCCCAAAGGTTGGGAACCACTGCCCTAAAGAAATAAAGCTGCCCCCCTCCTCTTTCAAAAAAACAGCTGAAAACCCATCTTTGCTCACAATCATATGGAGAGGAGGAGGATTAGATGAAGGGAGACTATTACCAGAATTCTAATTGGAAAGTATAAATGCATTTGGGCCTTGTTAGACCACACTAGCCCATTTAACATCATTGGCCATACAATCAATGCACACATAAACCTTTGTGGTGCTTTTGTAAATTAATTCAGATGTTTTATGTTCACGTTTTATGTCAGTTATAATTTTGATAGATTACATTTTATTTAAGTTATAGTTATGTTTAAGATGTCTTTTATGTGGGGTTATTCTAGGTTATTATATTTGTACTTATTTTCATTGAATGTTTGTCTTTTTGTTTGTTAGAGTCCGCCCTGAGTCCCCCAAGGGAGATAGGGTGGAATATAAATAAAGTATTATTATTACTATTTCTACTACTGTGTATATTGCATTTATTGGGTTTTATTTATTTATTTAAATCTTTATATATTTTACACCGATCTCTGAGCCTAAAGCCTACAAGTAAGCATTGTAAAATATATCAAGGTTAGCCTATGTAATTTGTTTAGTATGACACATCATTTTTTGTCAATTTTAGAACTAAACTTCTGTCAGCAAGCATAATTAGTACTATATTTTTAATTTGTTAAAGTCAGTTTTTAATTCCAGTATTACTTGTTTTTTACTATGCAGGGGCCCTTACCAAAGTGAAGGAAAGTAAGCGGCATGTTGAAGAAGGGAAGATGGAGGTCCAGAAGGCTGATGGTATTCAAGATCGTTGTAACATTATTTCTTTTGCCACCCTGGCAGAAATTCACCATTTCCACAAAATTCGAGTGAGGGACTTCAAATCACAGATGCAGCATTTTTTACAACAGCAAATACTTTTTTTCCAAAAAGTAACACAAAAGTTAGAAGAAGCTCTTCACAAATATGACAGTGTTTAATATTCCTTAATTTTTAGACTTTGACTGATGGATGTTTCTTGGCTTGCAAATGGGATACGCAACAGAGGCAAACACCGCTCTCAAATACCTGTTGACACCTCTTGAGATGCTTTACAAGAACTACTTTGTAATCTGTTCTGGATTCCAGTTGAACCTAATCATTGCATAAGGAGGAAATAATTATTCCTATTTAGTTGAGACTGTACTACAATTGTAACTAAGTTATACTCCAAATGCCTACACTACCATTGTAATGTTTTTGAAATAATGATTATACTATTTGCCTTATTGCTTTTTTGAAGTATGATATTTTAGTGCATACGCTGTAGACCTCAAAACCTGTTGGGTCTTTAAGGAAGTTGGCAAGATAAAAGCCTGCTTCGGATGCCTTTTTAAAATTCTCTTCAGTTTGAATTTTCTAAATTCAAACAATTCTCTGTTTACAAATTCCTATTAGAGCAGCTAAGCTATTTTGTGCCTTTAGACTTACAACTTTTCATTATTATTATTTTTTTCCTAGTAAACCACATTTTTATGACTGATTGAATGAAGGATTGGCACCCCTGACAGGGCCTGATTTCAAACCTCATTAGTGACTGAAAAGTAACTAGACCTGTAACTTGCACACTAGATGTTATGATAAATGTTGATTGAAAGAAAATACTTAAAATCATTTTAGACTTTGTACTGATTAAAAATATTATTTATTATTCATACCAGAACCTTAAACACACAGGTGAGAATTCAGCACTGCTGTTAGTTCCTTTTCTTAACATGGCACCATAAAACCTTTCAGTGTAAGACATTTTTGGGTAGAATCTTGGACCACTTAAAACAGTGGTTCTCAACCTGGGGTCCCCAGATGTTTTTGGCCTTCAACTCCCAGAAATCCTAACAGCTAGTAAACCGGCTGGGATTTCTGGGAGTTGTAGGCCAAAAACATCTGGGGACCCCAGTTTGAGAACCACTGACTTAAAAGAATATTGAAGTGTATTTGTGGGGTGAAAGCAGAGGATCAGTGGTTCATGCTTGTACATGTGTGTAATACTTGCAAGTCTTGTGAGACTCTTGCTTTATTTCATTTTAAACATGGCCCTGTTTTGCTACTTGGCTTAAAACTGTTGCAGATTGCAAATGGTCAATGCTGTTTAATTGAAATTAGTGGTTTATTGGGAGGGAAATACGAAGACTACAGAGCAGAGGTGCCAATTGGGAATAATGCATTTTCCTTTTCTGTTTCTCCTCCCTGTGTTTCAAATCGTACATACCAACACACACTTGGTGGCTTTTTTCCTCTGTAGGATTTCAAATTATTTGGGAACACCTCAAATGTGCATTCCTATAACTGTGAGGTCATAATTTTAGTAGAGACTGTGAGGAATTTCTCTGTAGAATTCTGCAGATTTCAACTACTCCTATGCAACTTGGACATCTGTGAGTGTTTCGGTACACTTGCTAGGTTTCAGAAAATCCATCAGGCCTTTTACACCTTTACAATGCTCTCTGAGCATCCGATTGTACAAGAACTTCCACAAATGTTGATTTTGGCAATAAATTGCATACCATTAAAACCAATAATTTGTCCAAGAAAGTAGTTATTTATAATATTAAATTTATTTATTTATTTATGCACACATTCCATATTGTATGCTTACATGTAGAAGAGATACTGTGTGTATATGCGTTGGAGAGTGGTGCTGGCAGTTCTGCTCTAGCAAGATACAGCAATTACACCATAGTGTTGGGCTTTTTGGTTTAAGTATTGCTAGAATCCAAACAAGGAAGTAAACGTTTGGTAAAAGACTAAAAGTTTGTTAACCTTTTGTTAAAAGGAAGTGGGTAATAGGCCAACCCAAAGTTCCAGTGATCTAATTAAGAAGGCACTTGAATATTTTTTTTTTCATGTGCATAAGAAAGAACAATATTTTATTTCATTCACAATGTGTATGTATTTTATGTTCATTTGGAAATAGGCATGGCATTGTAGAGTGTGTCAGTGCAGTTTTGCTTTTAAAATATGCCAGTGTATTTTGAGGGAAGGGGAAACAGTTTGTATGTAAGATATCTTTCGGCTACTTTCAACTACCCTATGGGATTGTTATGCATCCCATTTTTAAAAATCTGAATCACTTGTTTCTTGACTTATCACTCAGTGTAGAATGCAGATGCTGGGGAATACAATTAATTGCTAAAATTAATTGCCAAAGGGATAGCTATGTTTGTCTCTCGCAATGATAAAACAAAGGGTTCTTTCACACTCTGATGAACACGTTTAGTATATCATGAGTTTTCATAGGGAGAGAGTTTCTTGAACTTTGGATTGCTCCATTTTTGGACTTTAACAAAATATTGGCCAATCTATAACCTCCATATGGGGCTACAAGTCTTCTGACCTTTCAAATAAGTGATGTGGTAGTCAGCATTATCTAAAGCTTTCCAGTTGTGCTTTGAAGTGGAAAGATGACAAATCAGTCCCACCAACCACAGCATGCATAAAAGTGCCTGCATATGACGTTTCTAAGAACCAAAACTTGCATATACAGGCTTTTGTCTTTTTTTTTTGTATTATGAAAAACTTGTACAGTCAACCCTCACTATTCACTGGGATTAGGAGCACATGATCCCTGTGATAGTAAAAAAATAATGAAATTGATATTTTAACCAGGGAGAACATCTCTCCATAGATTTCTAGGTCTTCCAGCATGACTCTGTGGTTGAATTCACTTGGAAACTGACCACAGAATCACACCAGAAAGATGTTTGCTCTAGAAAATGTTATTAGTCCTCCTGGATGACTGAAGAAAGTTGACCATAGAATCTGACTGGAGGACTTAGAGATCCCTAGAGAAAACATTTTTAATCAAAACCATTAATTATCAAAACCACAAATGTGGAGGGACTACTGCTTTTATTCTGTGGTGTCTGCAGTAGAAATGCTGACATTCTTTAACAGGATAAAGCATTGAAAAGTTACTTTGAAGGCCTACAATTCACAAATGAGGCATTCCAAGAGTTGCAGTCACGTGTCAAAATTAAATCCTAGGAGCACACTGTTTTCCACTAAAAGAGAAATCTTATCTAAGTTCTGCAAATATAATGAAATAGCCGTGAAGAACAGGTTTGAAGAGTTTTAGGATCTCTGTACTCTGACTTATAAGAAGCATTGCTTGACTATCAAGAAAAAAGTGGGACCTAGAAATAATGACTGGCACAACCCGAGGATCACAACCAGACACAGTGAAGACACCTGTCCTTGCGTTTTGCTACTCTGCTGCTGAATACGTATGCCCAACGTGAAACACATGTCACCACATTAAAACCGTGGATATGGCTCTTAATGAGACATGCCGCATTATCACAGGATATCTACGCCCTACAACACTGGAGAAATTATACTGCTTAGCTGGTATTGCACCACCTGACAACCGTCAGGAAGTAGCAGCCAATAATGAACAAGGCAGTGACATCTCTGGCCCACCCCTGTTCGGATATCAGCCAGCACGCCAATGCCATAAATCAAGAAATAGCTTTCTAAGATCTACAGAGATACTGGCAGGAACACCTCAGCAAGTGAGAGTCCAAAAATGGCAGACTAAAACCTGGAACCTCAATCAATGGCTTATAGTGAATGAGAGACTCCCTCCTGGGCACACAGAAGACTGGGTGACTTGAAAGGCACTGTTCAGACTGCTCTGGCACCACAAGATGCAGAGACAACCTTAAGAAATAGGGCTACAATGTGGAGTCCACGACATGCGAGTGTGGAGAAGAGCAAACCACAGACCACCTATTACAATGCAGTCTGAGCCCTGCCACATGCACAATGGAGGACCTTCTTATAGCAACACCAGAGGCACTCCAAGTAGCCAGATATTGGTCAAAGACATTTAGTATAATGCCAAATTTTAAAATTTGTTTGTGTTTAAATACATTAGAACTGTACCCTCAATTCACTTCTGATACAATCAATCAATCAATCAATCAATAAGCAGCTCTATGTGAATATGGTATAAATCCACACTCACCCACCCCAACTTCTTTGTGATAAACTTTTTAGATGCTATACAAGTTCTATATATATACCAAGCCTTGTGGGTAGCAATTCACTTACATTTTAGTGAGTTAGTTAATTGCATCTTGCCAAGAAACTTCTGGGTGGTAGGAATATCAGATTTGTGATGTGGGTAAAGGGACTTAGGCATGTAGCTTACTGATGTAGCTTTGGGAGAGCAACTCAGTTTAGTTGCATTCCTAAACCTTATTGCTATTTTCAGTGGAATGTTTTCTATTGCCTGTGACCACAAATGAATTCTCATCCAGAACGCCTTGTTTCTTTTCATGGGAACTGGGTAACTTTCCATCTTTAGCGTATTCTGTTCTTTAAGTCATATAGTGCTAAGAAGCTTCAACATTTCAAGCGGACTTCAGTTGGATTGCTAAATTCAGCCACAAGTCCCTCTGCAGTATGAAGCAACAGGAAATAGGACATTGTCTTTACCATGTGCACGTCCCAGCTGTCTGTTGTGCGCTTTCTGCAGCATTTGGGGCAGGAGGCAAACTAGATTCCAAATAATTGTGCTTATACATTTTTAAAAGATCTATATGCTGTGGTGCTAACAATAGCAAAGCAAGCTTTTGGATTTCTCAATGTCATCTTGGCAAAAATATTAAACAGGTGAGCCAATCCACTGTATTTGGGGCTGTTTTTCAGCCGTAGGAATCCTTCAAGGAGTCATAGACTTTAAAAACCCACCCTCAACCTCCTGTTCACCTGACTGATAAATTTATGGCAGAAGTGGGCAAGCTTCAAATACTGGGCTGCAACACCTGGCATCTTTCACCATTGACTATACTGGCTAAAACAGATTGGAGTGGTAAGTCCAACATCTGGTAAGCCATAAATAGCTCACCTTTTTAATAGCCTACTTTTAATAGCAGGAGTGAGAAATTATCAAAGAATAAAAATGCAGTAGCAAGAAGAGGGGCAGATTAAAATCCAAGCTATTATACAAATACACTCCATAGAAACCTTTCTCTCTCTCTAGTAAGATCCACGAAAGAGCTATTGTAGTATAATGGCTTGAGTGTTGGATTAGCATTCTTTGGCCCCTTCTACCCAACTGCATAAAACCAAAATTATTTGCTTTGAACTGGATTATATGGCAGTGCAGATTCAAATAATCCAGTTCAAAACAGATAATGTGGATTATCTGCCTTGATATTCTGGATTATATGGCAATGTAGAAGGGCCCTCTGAAAGTCCAAGGTTCAAATCAATACTCAGTCTTGAAAACTCACAGTGTGACATTAGAGGAACCACACCTTGTCAGCTTTCAAGGAAAGCAATGGCAAACCTCTGGACAAACTTTGCCAAGACGAACCGATGATGAGGCTTCTTTAGTGTTCGTGTAAATCAGAAATGATTTGACCGTTCTCAACAAGAAGAACATATTCCAAATACAGTTAGTCTATAGAATCTGCTGGGGTTTGGTTCCTGGAGTCATTTTCTCAGTCTTCCAACCAGATTCTATCATTTGCTTCTGGTGGAATTGGTTCATTTCAATAGGATTCACTATTATATGCAGTTTGCATTTTTCCAGTAAATACAGGACTATATCCCCGGCACATACAGGGGCTGTATTGTAATGTAGCTCTCATACTTTCTTCAGCTGTAAAATTACTCCTAGGAACCTGGACTTATTGGCAAGCATATTCTACCCAAGAAAGCTTTCTAAAGTCAAAATGAGGCTTTTGTAAAGAGTGCTACATGCCATAGATTCTTCAGCCTATAATTTTTCAAACTAGATAACATGAGCTAAAGATTCAATTTTACCGAATCTAATAGCCTGGCACCTTCTTTCGTTAATTAAATGTCTCAAGATACTTCTGTAAAGTTTTCTGAGGAAATGGTCAAGACCTGAAGATAGCTTGTAACTTCAGTTCCTCTTTAAGGGGTGTATGGTTAGAATGCTATTTCTTTCATGTTTCCACTTCCTTCTACAAAAAAAAAAGCATTCACTATCCAGTACTGTTACTGTCTTCCTTCAAGTTGTTTCTGAGTTATGGCTACCGAATCAAAGGGTTTTCTCAGAAATATGTGTTCAGAGAAGGATGGTCCTGGCCTTCCTTTGAGGCTATGAGAGCAGACTTCCAGCAGGTTTCCATACCATAGCGAAGATTTGAATATCAAGGCAGAAAATCCCACAATATCTGCTTTGAACTGGGTTATCTGAGTCCACACTCAAATAATGTGAGATTTTCTGCCTTGGTATTCCGGGATACAGGGCTGTGTGGAAGGGCCCAGGGTCTTAGTCCAACACTCAATCTGCTGTACCAGACTACAGTGGTCTACATTCAATTACTAACGTCAACTACAGTAGATAAATTGAATCGCTAGGGTCCCTTCAATACAGTTGTATAAAATCCACATTGAACTGGATTATATTTCTATGTGGACTCAAATACCCCAGTTCAAAGTGGATATTGTGGATTATCTGCCTTGATATTCTGGGTTACATGGCTGCGTGGAAGGGCCCTAGGTGTTCACTTAAGAGCCAGCAATTCAAGGCATGCAGCAG